CCTTCTGCCGGTGAGGGACCGGGACGGGGGCTGTGATGGGCGGGGACATTGGATCTTGGGGACATTGGGTATCAGGGGCATCAAGGCTTGGGGACATGAGAGCTTGGTGACATTGGCTTTTAGGGACATGGGGGCTTGGGGGCACCGGGGCCTGGGGACATTGGGTTTTAGGGACATGGGGTCTTGGGGACATTGTGTCTCAGGGATATTTGGGCTTGGGGACGTTGGGTATTGGGGACATTGGTTCTCGGGTACATTGTGTATCGGGGATGTCAGAGCTCAGGGACATTGAGTCTTTGGGACACTGGGGCTTGAGGACATCAATTCTTGGGGACTTTGAATCTCAGGGACATCAAGGCTTGGAGATAGTTGGGAGCTCGAGGACTGTGGTGCTTGGGGACATGGGGCTGGGGGCCATGGGACACCCCATGGCTCAAGGCCATGTCCCCGCATCCCTGCAGTGGCTGCTTCCGTGAGTATTTTGTGCACAAGTTCCGTGCGGTGCTGGGCAAGAACCGTGTCATCTTCCCGGGAGAGAAGGTACCGGGGGGACACATGGATGTGGAGGGGACCAGGGGTAGCAGCACCGGGGCTGGTGACATCCCTCATGTCCCTGCAGGTGCTGCTGGCACTGTCAGGGGGACCGGCCTCCAGTGCCATGCTCCGACAGGTCCAGGAGGTGAGAGTGGGGGCAATGGGGGGGTCTCGGGGGAGGGGCATGACTCCCCAAACCCCTTACCCTGTGTCTTTGCCAGGGGCTCAGCCGGGAGACGGCCAAGAGGCTCCGCTTCATCCCTGGCCTCATCTATGTTGATGGTAAGGATTGGACCTGCTGCAAGGGCTGGGGGCTGCTGCTGAGCCCAGTGAGGCTCTGGGGGGGTCCAGGGTGCCCCCTCCGCACTGTGGCATCCCCGGCGCTGCCTTGCAGAGGGTGCAGTGCGTGGGCAAAGCCCAGCTCAACGGGAACAGAGCCTGGCCCGCATGGAGGCCCTACTGCAGGCCACCGGCATCCCCTACCACCTAACCCACCTGGAGCAGGTACGAGGGGACATGCTGGGGCACTGGGACATGCCTGACCACCCCTAATTTGCCCCTCTGGTACCAATCTCTGCCCTGCAGGCGCTGGAGCTGCCCGCATCCATCCTGCGCCCGGCGCCAGGGGAGTCCAAGGAGCCTGGCCCCTCCTACAAAGAGGCCGTGGAAGGCTTCATCCAGCAGCAGCGGCAAGAGGGGGACAGGGACGGTGGCACCGCGCTGCTCAGCCCTGGCACTGGGACCACCCCTAATTTGCCCCTCTGGTACCAATCTCTGCCCTGCAGGCGCTGGAGCTGCCCGCATCCATCCTGCGCCCGGCGCCAGGGGAGTCCAAGGAGCCTGGCCCCTCCTACAAAGAGGCCGTGGAAGGCTTCATCCAGCAGCAGCGGCAAGAGGGGGACAGGGACGGTGGCACCGCGCTGCTCAGCCCTGGCACTGGGACAGGGGACACCCCTGCCCCTCTTCTGCCCG